AATAAGTTATGTTTTACAGCTGTTTTATGTAAGTTATATTTAAAGATTAGTGAAAGTGTCACATTTTGACATGCACAGTTCACAGAAGTATAGAGTTCAAATGTGGTAGGTGGTGTAGAATTTTAGTACAGGTGGGGAGATAGAGTTAGAAAGAAGGCAAAAAGTGAGGTTTTTAAAAAAATTTTTCATGAAGATTTCCTCAAACCAAAATTGCTGTAGAAAATAGAGTTGAAGACCATAATCTATAATGTTTTCCTTTATGCCTTTTAATAAGCATTATAGTCTTTCCTATATCTAGTTCCTGTGCAGATGCTTTAATGCTTTAACACTTTAACATTTTCACCTAGGCCTTATACCGTACTATAATTGGGGCCTATGAAAAATATGCATGTCTTCATTTTCTTTTTTCCCCTAGTATTTTTAATGTCTGATATATGTGGAGCCTCAATTTTGTTAAGAGGCATTGCCTTTGAAAATATGTATTTTTCTGTTATCCTGTATATTAGAGGCTTTTTTGATGACAACGCAGGTCACAATTTCTCTCTTCTCAATTTTCAATTCAGAAGTTAGATGATTAAATGTGCTTGAAGTAAAAGCAAAAAAAGTTTTTAGGAACATTTATTTATAATCTGGCTGCTATTCTCATTATTATAGGCCCAAGATAACCAGATTGGATTTTAAGAAGAATAGATTAACCCTGGTCGTTGTAGAAGATGATGATCAGGTAGGAATTATATTGCTTTACTTTTTTAACTGACTATTTTATGTGGTAACTTGTGTCTCTAAAAGGAGGGATGGAATGTACCCCCAATGTTTTAAAGAGCCATAAACGGAGACTTAATGTAATTAATACTTTAAGTATTTTCCTGACTCAGGTCACACCATCCTAAAAATATGGTTTTCTGCCCTTAAGATTAAAGATAATATAAAAGTTCTTGTTTTTTCATTGATAATATATCTGTGGCATATAAAAATTACATTAAGTGACTTTATCCCTTTAGTGTCTGATTGAAAAGATTAATTGAAAAGATCTACCTAGTGATATTCTTAATAAAGCCTTTTGAACTAAGGATTACCTTTTTATCAGTAAAAATGTGGTTCCTAATTGATACACATATAGACCTATCTCAGATACATTATGCTAAGTGAAAGAAGCCAGACTCAAAAGATTGTGTACTGTATGATTCCTTTTATATGACATTGTGGGAAAGGCAAACCCATAGGAATGGAGAATAGATCACTGATTGCTTAGGATTAGAGCTAGTGAGGAGGTTTGACTACGAAAGGGACAGAGCGAGGGACATCTGAGATGAAGGAACTGTTTTATATCCTGTTTTTGGTGTTGGTTATATGACTCTATGTGTTTGTCAAAACTCACAGAAATGTACTGTATGCAAGTTAATAAATTTTAGCACATATACATACGGATACATATAGATAAAAACAAATTGGGAAAAATGTTAACAGTTGTTGAATCTAGATGGCATACATATCAATATTAAGTTTTTCTGTACCTTTAAACATTTTTATAATAAAATGTTAAGATTCAAATTTCCTATGTGATTTCACATTTATACTTCTCATTTTAGAAAGCTTTTTATGTTTTTCTTACAGCTTTTGTCATATGCAGGCATATCTTTACATGTTTCTAGTCTGTTTATAATTGATAATTAACCTTTTCCTCCTCCTCATTATTATAATAGTAATGTATTTTGGTTGTACCAGTGTAAAGTGTGACAAGCAGTAGGTGAATGTAAAGAAGTATGTAAGTTTTGCTGAAACTTTGCCAGTATTGGATTTTACGTTAAAAATATATTTTGCTGGGCCGGCCCAGTGGCGCACTGCTACAGTGCACTGCTTGAGAGTGCGGCGGCGCTCCCGCCGAGGGTTTGGATCCCACATACAGACCGGTTCCCGCTCACTGGCTGAGCGAGGTGTGGGAGCAACACCGAGGGTTGCGATTCCGTTGCCGGTCCCGGTCCAGTACGGGCGCGACACTGAGGGTTGCGATCCGTTGCCGGACACGAAAAAAGACAAAAAAATATATATATATATATTTTGCTTATAATAATGGAATCTTACTGTTTTAAATTTGATCTTCGAATAGGAATAGTTGTTAATGTTTGCTCATGTTTGTTTATTCTTGCATTTCTTTTTGGTGGGCATTTTCTGTTCATGTTCTTTTCTATTGGTCCCATAAAGGTGCTATAAGAAAACATCAATATAAATTCCAACATAGATATTAATAAATAAAAAGCTGAGATCAGGTAAGTATTACCTTGCATCATGGTTGTAGCTGTCTGATGATTTGCTGTGGTTGTTGTGGACATATGTGGACCTATTAAATATAATAACTGAGAAAAAGAATGCTGTAAAAATTACTTTAAGTTAAAGATTCCTGTATACTTGGTATAATTTTTTTTTTCAAATTGTTGAATATTGGTGTTGCACTCTAATAACACCTACACCTCTTTTGTTTTGTTTGTTTGTTTGTTTTTTTGTCCTTTTTTTTGAGACCGGCCGCACCGCGCTCAGCCAGTGAGCGCTGTGAGCGCACCGGTCATCCCTATATAGGATCCGAACCCGCAGCGGGAGCGCTGCTGCGCTCCCAGCGCCGCACTCTCCCGAGTGCGCCACGGGCTTGGCCCCCTACACCTCTTTTGGAATGGTCTTTGAGTTTATACATGAAAGATCAGTAGATTTTGGTCAGTGTTAGTAAAATAAAAAACAGAGTGTCAGATTGCTGCTGCTTAATGGGATGCACTGCTTTACAATCAGTAGATCTTGGTGGTCTATTTTGACTTTAAAGTTGTTCATATACAGACTAAAGGTACTGAGTGCTTATGTGCTTGGTACAGTTTTAGGCTTTTTACTTATCACGTGAATGAAAAATATCCTATATTCTCAAGGAAATTTTAGTTCAGTGGAAGTGTCCTATAAGTGGATGAGCAACATGTACTCAAAAAATACGTACTCTTATTTTAAGTGGTAAAGTAGGAGTACATAATAGATAAGTCTGCAAAAATATGTGGGCTTGTGTGTTTATGGTATCATTTAAAATATTGAGACACATTCATACAGTAAAATGCTGTGTAGCCAAGAAAATAATTATTGATGTGGGAAGAACTTTGTGATGTAATAAGTGGATGTTTGGTGCAGTAGTATTTTTATGTCTGTGTTTTAAAAAATATGACAATACTTTTGCATGAAGAAAAGTTTACATAGATTTCAAACTCCTGGGTGTGTTATTGCAGGGTGATTTCAGCTTTGGATGATTTTGATATCCTCCCCCCGTTTATTTTTTTAAAGATATATTTCATATAAAGGACAGGGAATAGGAGATAAAAGTGCCCCTGGTACTGATTCATTAGGTGCCATTTTAAGTTTGTAGTTTGCTTAGGTCTTAAGAACATACAGAATCGTCAGTTATCTTTTGGTGAGGGTATGATGATCTTAGAGTTTTCTCTCGTCAAAAAGCATGCATTGCTTTACTCACTGCAGACTAGAGAGGGAAAGATAATTAAGCTTTTTTGAATGCTGCCCTCAGGGAGATCATTGACATTAAGCAATGTCAAAATAAAAGTATGTTTCTCAAAATGTGGAATTTGACCTCTCCTCCTTCAGATTTAAAAAAATGGGCTGGAGGATTAGCTCAGTTGGCTAGAGCACACTGTTATAACACCAAGGTCAAGGATTCAAATTCCTGTACTGGCCAGCCACCCAAACAAACAACAAACAAAAACACCTGTCATAGTTCAGTGTACAATAGGGTCATCTATGTATTAAAAAAAAAGCCTAAAGCAGCTCAACTGAATTAGCTAATATTTCTGCATAGGTTTTAGTAACCTAATATACATTTATTTAGTACACTTAACAATTAAAAACATATGAAAAGTCATACAGGGAAAAAGTGTTTCTTCCATTCTAGCCACCCATTTCCTCATATGTAAGTCATCAGTGTTACTTCAACAGTTTTAAGCCACACCTTTTTGATTTTTTTTATCATCTCTGAAAAAATTGGGATGCATTTTACAATAGGTCATGGCTTAAGATCGTTGTCAACCAGGCAACAGTTGTGATGTAGTTATCATTGCCTGCATATTTGTGAACTGGTTATACCAAATTCAGTTGAGCTTTGTTCATTGTTGGTACTGTAGGTGTAAGTTCAGTAGCTATTTAAGTGGCTTCAAAAAGATAACACTAGGATTCAACATTGAAATGAAAAGTTATTCTGAATGCAGAAAAAGCGTTCAAACAGATCTGTGGGATGTACATCAAGTGAAGTAAGTATGCATTGTTGGAGAGTGACCTCAATTTTATGTTTCTTTTGCTATTCAGAGTATTTGGGTTCACCCACTCCACCCCAAATTATTTAATCAGAAAAGAGCGTATTAAATGGTCCCCAAGATTTTTGTGCACAGTGAAGTGTGAGAAGTACTATTTAGCAGAACCTAAGAAAGATGATTCTGAAAAGCAGGTGAAACAGTGATAAGTTTGAAAGTTTTAAGTTTTGGTACTGAGATTCATGCAAAGGATTGCCCTATCACAGCTTGGAAGAAAATCAGAGAAGTGATAATGGAGTATTTTAAAGAGAAATCTCTTGATGGCACAGAGGATGATCAATTTATCATCAGCAAAGGATTGCCCTATCACAGCTTGGAAGAAAATCAGAGAAGTGATAATGGAGTATTTTAAAAAGAAATCTCTTGATGGCACAGAGGATGATCAATTTATCATCAGTTTTGAAATGAGTTGAAAATGATTTAGAAAAGTCAGATTTTGAACCTGCATCTTTCTGAAAATAATCAGGTTATTTTACTAATATTTTCATTTTTATGTAAGCATAGATGTAATTAAATATTTGTATCTAAATCTACAAGTGGTCTTTCAAAAAGAATTAAATATAATTCTGTGCAATAAGTGTGATCATAATTGGTGGCACTTATTCTTATTGGGGCATAAAATAGTGCATCTTATAATTGACATTTTAGATGTGATCAAATATAGTCATAGCTTTTTGGATATCTTTTCAAAGATGTTTTATACAAACAAGCAAATGTGTATATCAGTTCTTTAACACAGAAGTCAGCTTGTATTGTACACTGTTCTCTAATTATCGTTTTTTTTTTTTTTTAATAAAAAGATGACCGGTAAGGGGATCTTAACCCTTGGCTTGATGTTGTCAGCACCATGCTCAGCCAGTGAGCGAACCGGTCATCCCTATAGAGGATCCGAACCCGTGGCCTTGGTGTTATCAGCACCGCACTCTCCCGAGTGAGCCACGGGCCGGCCCTCTAATTATCATTTTTAACTTGACGTTATAGCCTGGAATCTTTTCTGTATCTGTACATAAACTGCTTCCTTATTCTTATTTAAAAAAATAAACTAAAACTGCATAATATTGTAGTATATTGATGTACCCTAAGTTATTTAGTCAGTTCTCAACTAGTTGACATTTATATGTTATATATACATTAATTTGTACATTGGCAACTGTATCCATAGAATAATTTCCTGCAGGTGGATTTTTCTGGGTCAAATAGTTATGTGCATTTGTCCTGGATAGAGAGAGATCCTATCAGATTTGTACTCTTATCAGTGTTCTAACCTGTTTCCTTAGAGAAAGTTATCAAACATTTTTATCTAAAAGGTGAAAAGCAGAATTTCATTGTAGGTTTAATTTTTTATTTCTGTTACCACAAGTGATATTGAAGATCTTTTCAT